AAAAAAAAAATAATTTTATGTATGTTATTATCTTTATTATAAACATTGAGATATACTCTAAAATAAAAAGTGATTATATTTTAAGTGTTGATATGAGTATTTTTTAATGTTGTTAGTTTCAAGATGAGATAAATAACAATTATATCTTTATTGTTCTACTTAGAGGAAAATTTGTCTATTAAAACAAAAAAACAAAAAAAAAGTATTTATTTAAATAACAAAAAAAAAATTAAATTTTTTTAGACCAAGATAATACAATGGAAGAAATATCAGGTCGTAATTGGTAATTTGGATTAAGCATTTGTGTTAATAAATCTTTCCAATTTTCTAATAAAGCAGGAAAAGAGACATTATTAATTGAAAAAGGGATAGAACCAACAGAACCACCAGAAGATAAAATACAAGCAATAGCAAAACTAAAAACATCACCAGATTTAGTAAAAGGAAGACCATTTAAAACTTCAGGAGGAGTATAAATAGAAGTAGTTAAAAGAGTAGGAATCCAATAATCAGATAATTTACCATTACCAAAAGAGTCAACAACAAAAGAATCTAAAGTAATATTTTGATGAATAAAATTATTTTTATGTAATTCATCTAAACCTTTAGCAACATCTAATAAAATATTAAGAATATTATCAGAAGAACAAATAGTATGAAAATGATCAGTCATAATAATTAAATTTGGATGAATACAACATTTTTTAATTGGAACAAGAAAATTAGAATTTTGAGAGAATTCAAAACGATTAATAATTTCTTTAGATAACATAAAAGAAAAAGGAGGATATTTATTTATTGCTAATTCATTTTCAGTTGTAATAAGTAAATCATCACTACAATAAATATTATCTTCATTACTAATAAATGAAACAGGTAATTCAATATAATCATTTTCATTTTGTCCAATTAATATATCAATTGTTGCTCTTGAACATAATGGAATTATATTTATTGAACATTTTTGTGTTGATCTTGGTGGAATAAGAATTTCAGTTGTTTCTACATTAATACAACATTTATGAGAATTAATAAAGAGAGTAATTGAATTTGATTCTCTATTTGTAATAAAAATATTAAATATTTGATTTTCACAAACATTTCCATTTAATTGAATTTCTGATGGAGAAATAGTAAAAGATGTTCCACTTATTCCAGTTTCTTGTAAAGCTTTATTATATCCATCTAATAAAATAATTAAAATAATAATAAATATTATTATTCCAACTGTAATACAACTTAATGTTAATATCATATGATTTGTATCAAGACTAACCATACAATTGTTATTATAAAATATATATCCTTTTGGACATGAACATTGTTGTCCTACACAATAATCTTTTAATACTTCTGTTATATTTATCATTATTTCTTTTTGTATTATCCCTTTTTCATTTGTATTTATTGCTCCTCCAATAAATACATATCCACTTCTTATTCCAACACTCCATCCTGCAAATTGTGATGAACTATTTCCACTATATTCCCATAATTTTTTAAATCTAATTGGTTGATCTGTAAGATAATAATCATAATATATTATTGCTCCTCCACTATTATAATTTGTTCCTTTATTAATAAATGGTGTTCCAATTATTATAAGACTTCCATATGTATAAATAATTTGTGATCCTGTTGGATTATATAATACTGAATTATTTATTGAATTATAAAATGGTATTATTATTGTTTCTCCATTTCTATAAAAATCATTTGGTGAATTAACTTGAAGTCTATTTAAACCAGTAATTGGTGCATAAAGTACATTAAATTTATTCATTCTTATTGGATCATAATTAAATGTTTCTGAATATGGATATGAAACACTACCATAATAATATAATTCTCCTTTTATTTTATCTATTTCATATAAATTTACATTACTTCTATTTCCTTTTACAGCAATCATTTCATTTCCTCCACTAATTGATTTTCCACACCAAATATTAGTTGAGAGTTGATGTTGAAGATGAATATTATATTCATTTAATAATGACTTTTTACATAAAAAGATTATATCTCCTTGTTTTCTATGGACAAGAGTCATATCACTATCTTTATCAAAATCTTGTTCTCTTGTTGTTATTAAATATGCTGGTTGTTTTGAAATATCATATATCTCAAATACTTTATTATGAACAGCTATTACTGTTGTATTTGATTGAACTACATTTGGTCGTGTTATTCCTTCTCTTGTTGTTAATGTTAATTGAATTGTTTCTGCAAATGGTAATATTCCATCTAATGAATATGAATTAGAATCATTTATTAAATGTGATGTTATAAATGTATATGGATATTCTCCATATTCATCAATATATGTATGAATAATAACTCTATTCATTGATGGATTAAATGTTACATTAACGAGTGTTGCAAATGAAACACTTAAAAGAAGTAAATATATCATGTTTTTTATTTTTATTTTAAAGTTCTTTTTCTTTTCAAAAAACACAAAAATACTTTTTTTTTTATTTTTTATCTTTTTTTATTTTTTTATTTTTTTTTTT